TAGAGTTTGTCAAATTGTCCAGGTGCCCAAATCCATAGTTGCAAAACCAGAATTCCAATCTAAAGCTATTTGATTACAAAATGGAAATCTTAATATAGAAAATAAACTATATAATACAAACTAAAATATTGTTAACCCACTTAAGTTAAAATCTTAGAATAGTTTGAACAGTGTCTCAACTTCAAGATTAAATCTTAGAATAGTTTTAATTAATATCTCAACTTGAGCTTTTTAGGTGCTCAATTCACCTTCAAAAGGTATAATAATATGATGGGTAACTTGGGATTTTAAAAGTCATATTTTGATTTCATATCAGATTTTTAAAATATTCTCACCTGAATAAATTATGTACTGGATAACATTATGTATGACTATTACTTAAAAAACCCAGTAAATTGAAATACTGATTCTTTTTGTGACCCACATATATATCTCAATTTAGATGGCTGAGGGCTCTGAGTTATCTTTTAATTCTTAAGCAAAGTCAGAGTAATTATGCTAATTTTTATTTGAGCACTGAATAATGATTATACGATTGTTGAGATTTAAGACATTCACTTTGAAAATAATAGCTAAAGGCTAGTATCCTAGAAATAGCATAAAATTTATCCCCACTATAGCTGCTGTATTTTGAATGAAAAACAAAACCCCCAAATCAGGATTAAAGACTACATTTTGTGTGTGTGTGTGTTAAAACTATTTAAAATTGTATAAGATTTTGGAACAACCATTAAGATACATTTAGTCTATTTTTATACATTTATAATTGAATAAAATAAAACTATTTTATACAAAGAAATTTTAAGAGTACTCTAAGGTATTTTTTCCCTCTCTCTCTCAAAGTGGCAAACCACTGGCAATCTTACTTAAATTCAGCATGCTATACAAATGTAGGAAAGGTTGCAGATTGTTGAGAACTGAAACAGGAGACAAGTTAGAAACTACTTCAGGCAAGCTCCAAGGAATGAGTGGTTTGAAGAATAAAAATCTATGCAAAAACTACTCTGGGGATAAAATTAGGGCAATTTGATAATCGATTGGATGTGAGAGCCATTTAGGAGAAGTGAAAGATGTTTCCAATCTTTCAACCCGAGGAAGTTAGACAGACGTTGGTGTCATGAGAAGATAGTAAACCCAGCGGGCTCGGATTTGCAAAAAAATAAGTAAATAAGAATATCAGTGTCTAATATTAAAGTGGAAATGTTCAGCACAGTGATGAAAATATCAGATAGGAGTTTAATAGTAAGTTCAAGTCCAGAAAAGCGATAACATAAATCAATTAAGCCAACTTTAAAGAAAGAAAACGAATTTTAATTGGTTCTCTTTTGATCCTAAGCATGCGAGATCTATCTAGAAAATTTAATTAAAAGAGAGCTGTTTCCTAGACCCAAAGGGTAAATATAAAATATGAAACCGGCTCAACTCCCTATAGAACAAATGGTTACAATTTTGTGTGTGGAGGAGATCATAGCATTAGTTGACCCTTCTCGTCTTAAAACCTTGAAACGTAGCATTTGTCTTATCTGAGTTTCTTTCTCAGGAAACTGACCCTCAGGCCTACAGTTTGAAAAAAACAAAAACTCACCAGATCACACAACTAGACAACGAGATGCCAGATCCCTCCCTAATTCCTGTTTTCTACATTCCTGACCCACTATATAACCCACTGACTTCAGTAGGATGGTGAGATGTATTTAAGATGGAACCTCTCATTCTCCTTGGCTCACGTCACCCAAATAAAAAACTTTCCTGGCAACACTTGACTCAGTGATTGGCCTTCAGTGTGGCAAGGAACAGGACCTCGACTGAACCCTTGGTGTTTGGGTAACAAACAGAGCCTTAGAAATACATTAGAACAAAAACCTTGAGCACCATCAGAAAACTCTCCATCTCTCACTGGGCACATTCCTGCTCCATTCTCTCCTCTCATTTCTCTGAGTTCATGCATTTTATTAAATCCACGTTCAAAGTTTACGTATAAAGAATAACAACTGATCGACCAGCTCTACTGGTCTACTATTATTTCCAAAATAATTCCCTCTTAAATTCTTCCCAATTCTAAGTCTTCAGAGAAGTCATTTGATTGGATCATTTATCTTCCTCTTGACAGTCAAAAACGGTGAGAGAGGTTGGTTGTGGGCACTCAGTCATCTAGAAAATGATTGGTTCCTTTATTTTGTAGGAATTGAAGTTCACTTCTCAAAGGGGATGTTAGAAGCCCGGACCAACACCGCAATCAGTGACTTTGTAAGAATCAAAGGCTTGGCCTGACTGACACCTGTATGTCAGACCAAGATAGAGAAGGAGACAAAAAAAAGGAGGCAAAGAAGAGTTTAAAAGTAAAGAATAAGTATGTATAGAGACACTAAAACCAAGGCCAGTGCAAAATCATGAGCAGTTGTATATATTCAACAGGAAACACTTAGTAATATGGTGATTGAGAAATCATCATTAGATTCGGCTACTAAAGAATCTTCAGAATATCAGTTTCTACAGAGATAAGATGAGGTAGTTGTTATATTATCTGATAAGACTCAGATATATTTTGCTCATAATATTGCCCCCAGAGAATGGCTACCCACATTAAAAGGGCGGAGAAAAATTGAGGTAATTTTCCATGCTATTACTAATAATTTCTAACTGACTCCCAGTGAAATCTGTTTTAATCTCAAAACCCACAAACTACTGTTTTTAGAGTCTGTTTAAACATTTTATTGGGAAGTTGAGGTCAAATTGATCAATCTGTGGTTTCTAAAATGAAATCATTCGGCCTAAAAAAAAATCAGAACACAGTCCTCTCCAATGTTCCAGGAGTTTCCACACTTGCATGACTCCAGAAGGATAAATAAATGAGATAGAATCCTCCCTAAAACTTCCCTCAGTTCCCTGGAAAGTACTTTTTCTAGGCCAGAAGAAATGATTGTTTTTAAGCAACCATCTGCTCTTATATTATCTTAGGTTTTATTTTTCTATTAGTCACATTTTTTTCTCCTGTTTGAAAACCATTTGCCCTGACATAGAAATTGGACAATACAAGCATTGAGTAGTTATTTTTATTATCTCTACATAATATCCATCTTCTCAAAAATAGTTTGAAATAAAATTTCAATTTCTACTTGAGGCACAGTTAATTTTAGAAAGTGTCCCTTCTTGCCTGCATAATTCCTTGTAGGTACAGAAATATAAACATAGGGTAAACTATGTTCCAAAACCCCCTGAAGGCTTATTTTGTATATCAGTGGGAAGAGGCGATTCAAATAAAATGAGTAGGTGTGGAACAGTAGGAAGTGAAGTGTGGGAAACATTGAATTTGGTACAGAAATATGCTTGCATTGCAAAATCCTAGCTAGCTTGAGTCCGTCATGATTTGATAGATACCTGTAATATAACATGTGGCTGTAATCTTCCCATGAAATGGTTCAATGGTTTTTCCATACTTAATATTTTGCAACCTGCTTTTTATAATTTGAACTATTTTCCATTGTTTTTGAGAAGATGTGAACCTAGATGTGCTCATATGTTGTAATATGATCATACGCTGTAATGATGCATGTTCACTCCATTGTTATTGGATCATCTTCAAATTCATTTTCTTCTACTTTCTTATAAAAGCACAGAGTTTCATTCAAAATGTTTCCTCACTATACTAAAATAAACTGTACTTGCTCTTGCTTCCATACCTTGAGTTATGCCTTCTGATTCCTCTTTTAATGTACTACATTTTCCTATGTACATCCTATCCATCCATCAAGAACTACATCAAGTGCCACCTCCTGCATTAAGTGTGCTCCAGCGTTTCCAGTGCTGATTCGCATATAGGCTATACCCCACTATTCGCATATTATTTTATGTTGTTTTTAATTCCGCATTCCTAAAACTATAATTTTAAACATTTTATTATATAAGCACATGTATATTTATACACATGTATCATTATCAGTAATTTCTTAATCGTTCTATGTATGTATTTCTTCTGTTCACGGCCAGACAGAAAGTTACTGTGGCAAAGATGGGCTATTTCTTCTACCATATTTACTGAAACAAGAAACTAGGCTTTGTGAGGAGGCGATAGGAAAGGTGACAATACATTTTCCATCTTATCTTTTATAACTTTAGTATTCTATAAACAAATATATTGCTAGAAAAATATTAGTTGTTTGATAATGACTTGGCTTTACCAATAGGGGGCAACATTTCTAGGCCTTTGTCATAGTGTTAAAACTATGTCAAACTGGAACCAGAACCTAAAGAAAAAGCATGTTTTTGTTGTTACTTAAGAAGAGGAAACAAAAGATTTTTTAAAAACATAGAAATTTTTCTAGAGAGTATGAAATTGAAACACAAATGATAAATCTATGATACCATATCATACATATATTTGAATTTTTTCAAACCCATAAAAACTGGGGCACATTAAGCCAAAAGTCTTTTTCCTCTTTGGTAGATATTTTGGGCATTGAACATGCACATTCTCTATCATGAAAATATATTTTCAGGTTTCAAGCAAACATAAACATAATGCAACTAAAACAATGGAAGAAAAGACATAAATAGAAACCCACAGTTTATAATATTCGAATTTCAGAGGATTAAATTTTCTTTTCACATAATTCTCCGAAGGCATGCTCCATTTTGAGACTTTCCATCAGCTTTATTTTATGCTGTTTTTTTTTTCTCCCCCAATTCTCAACTTTATCAAGGAAACAGAGGTCAACAGGCAAAATGTTAGTGCACCAAAGCACTTTATTCCCCTTGGGAATAAAGTAAGAAACGAAACAAGAAAACAAACTCACAGCCAAACAGACATGCAAACACAGACAGAGATCAGAAACGAAATAATTGAAATAACTTGTATTTGTATTTGTAGGAATTCATGAGCAACATCTATATGTTAAAATAGCATTTTCGCCCACGGAATTGGCTCCATCATTTAAGAGGACTCAGAAGCCTGAGCGGAAATATGGATGACGATGAGTCATGCAGAAAGAACTGGGGCTCACCTTTAACTTTACTCTTGGAAGCAGCCGCTGAAGCCAAGGAAAGGTTGCACAAGAGGAAGAGAACAGACATTAGATGTTAGACAGAGTCTCTGACCAGCAAGCAAACCGAGATGCCATTGCTATTAAAGTCTAAAGGGTGCATTTAGAATTACATGATCAACACACTTTAGAGGCATCAGACCCATAACAAAAAAATGACAATTTTTATATTTTGTTAGGGTATGATTAAAATCCTTGAATAAGAAAAAGTAAGCCAGAAGCCACATAGCACACGTACCAAACACTAAAACTCACAAAACTCTTTAACAGATGACTCTTGTTCTATGTCCTTCTCAACTCTAAATGTTAGTGAATAATCAATTAAATACTTGTATTTAGTTTAAATATGGTTAACCATATTTTAAATAGATTAATTAATGTTTTTATTATGAGTATGTTACTTAATACTATTGAACAAAGCATAACCCCATACTTTTGAATAAATTACAAGGTAGGTCATTTCCATGTTTTGAGTTCCATGTCCAGCTGCTAAATGTCAGAGACAGACTTTGAGCACTTTTCATACTTTTGCCACTTAAAAATGACAACCTTGAGAAGAAAGTGTTGTTAGGATTTGATCCTAAATGTATATGACTCCAAAGACTGTCCTCTAAAATACTAGCTTATGCTGTTGGGGTTTAAGAAACAGATTCATCAATTAAATTGGAAGCGTAAGTTCTACAAAGCCGAATCAAAATCATGTAATTCCTTAAACTCAAACTTCAGCTATTTTGGTACTGGACTGTCCATATAGCTGTGACACTAACAAACTGGATTACTTTAAATGACATTATTCCAATTAAGAAATAGAAGCTTGGTAGACTGACCTTTAGTAAAATTGAATTTAGATTTTAAATCTAGCAATTATAAGCTACATAGAGAAACTTTTAATTTATAATCATACTTCCAAGTTTATAGAGCCAAATACAAAAAACTTAGAAAGTCTACATACATGCCAGGCTATTTACAGAGAATTTCATTTTTCATCCATAAGTACTGTCTTACTATTTGCATATATCTTCTGCTAGTTCATTAGAAAAAGAACATCCTATTTTTAAAATAATAAACATTTTCTCAGACAGAAATAACTGAAATGAAAACAAAATTATTTCAGAAACTGTGGATTAAATTCTTGTCTTTTTTTTTTTTTTTGAGTTGGAGTCACTTTGTCGCCCAGACTGGAGTGCATTGGCCTCTCCTGGCCTCCACAGCCTCGACCTGCTGGGCTCCGGTGATCCTTCCGCCTCAGCCTTCCGAATAGCCGGAATTACAGGCACGTGCTACCATGCCCGGCTCATTTTGATTTATTGTAGAGATGAGGTCTCGCCAAGTTGCCCAGGCGAGTCTCGAACCCGCGGGCTCAGGCAATCCACTCACCTCAGCCTCCCAAAGGTGCGGGATTACAGGCTGAGCCACTGAGCCTGGCTAAACTCTTGTCTTAAGTGCATCTAAATCCTGTTTATTCCACAGCTTTAAAATGGATGTAGAAGGTTGGAGCAGGAGAATAATCACAACATTGTAGTGAAGATTGAAAAAAAATCAAAGATCCAAAATTTGCCAATTAGCTATTTGGCAATATTTTTACTAAATATAATGTAAAAACTCACAAAATTTAAAACCCATTAGAGTCACTAAACTATTTAATATTAAAACTTATATTTTGACATTTATATTTACTAGGAAATCTATATTCTTTTAACGAAGAAAACACTTTATTGCTTTATTGTTCAATTTTAAGAATAACGTTGATGCATATCAAAACATTAGAGGCAATATAGAGAAGTAAAAAATATCTCCACTCCCTCTTCAATGTCAGCTTCTGAGCATATAGGACTATTTCCCGTCATCGAGCTATTTGTAGTATTTATTCTGCTAATAGCAAATCTGCAACATACTCGTTATAGCACATCTCATACAGTGTAGTGATGTTTTATTTCTGCAGGACAGATTTCCAGGTTGTTTTCATATTTCTACCCGGAAAACCACTGACAAAATACCTTATGTATTGCAGATGAGAGGTTTGAATATTTGGAAAGAAAATGTGCAAGTGTATGGAATGCTCTAAAATAAGATTTAACTAGAAAAAGAGAAAAGGAGAGAAAGAAAAGTGCAGAATCCAGTGTTCTCAATACCCGATACACTGAAAAATCTTAGTGCTTTTAAACCCCGAACTACTTTATTTAACTTTTCGTACTGTTTGTTTTTGATTAAACATTCAGTTTTGGATTCTTTGATAAAGTATTAGTAGATTTCAGAATATTAATCATTAGGAAGCAGCTTCATCTACATATGGATTCATTTGTATTGATTTTAAGACTAGATAGAGCTGACTGACTTATTTTTAGGTTATGCTAAAACATTGCTTGCCTCAATTTCAAAGAAAATGTAAAATGGGTTAATACATCGACTTGTTCATGTGAAGAAAAACTTCATTTCAAACTCTAATTTGTCATTCAAAAAATGTTAGCATGACTTCAAAGAAAATTTTCCAAAAACCCTGATAAATTCAGAGGACAAGAATAATTAGCATCTAATATATAACAAATACAGTCAGTCTTTTATAAAAATTAATTTTTATTAGAATTAGCAAAACAAAGTTAGAGGAAATAAATTTTTACATTTGTGAAGTTAAATTATTGACAGTTCTCAGGCATTTCATGAAGGAAGGGGATTTTATTCTTAGATTATTGGGTAAGTTCCAAAATAAAATAGAAAGGAAAACAAAAGCTCTATACGTGTTTCTGTGTGTGTTCAGGCAGCTAATACTAGACTAGGTTGGTTAATATAATTGGAAAGAGGCCAGGTTACCAGGCTTGTTAGCCCAATTATAATTCTCTGCATATTCAATAAAAGAAGCCAAGATGACAGCAATACTGTCATAAATGTCATGTTCAATACTTGTAAGATTTTCCATTGTCAGCATAGTCCAATTATAAGTCAATTGTAAAGTGTACATTGTACACCACCCTAAAGTGACTGAAAATTATCTTAAAATGCAATTTTCACAGTTTATAGTTAAAATGAAAAAAGAGCTAAAGGTATCTTGACCAGACAAAAGTTTTAGATATGAAAACAACATGAGTTGTTCAAACTCTTTTTTTCAGAAATGATCAGTTATAATATTAAGTTCATAAATGGTAATAAATATAACATTAATGATGTGGACACATACATATAATTTTTGAAGAAAAATCATGTGACTATTAAGAAAATTACCCTGGTTATTTACACAGGAATGCTGAAGACTTAATGAATATTAGCCAACATATTAAGATTTATCTCAAAAAACTCCAATACAAACAATCAAAAAGTAAAAATACAATTAAGTTATTAAGTTATTAGTTTGGTTAATTTGTTTCATTAAATTAGGCACTTGTCTGGTTATTTGGAAGTGATATGGCTGTCTAATAATTTTTCAAAGAATTGGAGAATCTCCAACAGCATTTCTGAAAAGGGAAGTTCATAGACTATAAATAGGGCCTGAGGGCATTCTCAGGAGAGATTAAACAAATTTCACCTACTTCAAGACTGATATGACCTAGTCACATTTTTCCTATTCTTTTATTCTTGCTTCTTATTTTGACATTTGCTTTCTTCACAAAATGGTCATATATTATTATTCATATTTGCAATACAAGGATAATGTAGAACTTACTAGATTTATTGGTGTCTTTAGAGGTGTTTGCTGATGAGTTATTATCAATAAAACTTTTAGTAAATAGTAAAGGCATTACTAGTATTTATTCGGAGACAGCTATAGCATTATGGATATTTTATTTGAAGATGCTGTAAAATTTTATTGAAATATTTGGATATTTTAACTGTGCTGTAATTTTTCCTTCTATGCAAAAGTTTCTATGCTGAAGCTTTAAGAAAAATATACTTAGAGTTTAGACTTTTTAAAGAAACAAAGATTTCTGACATGTATAACTTCATATCCTAGCATATTAAATGATTTCCTTGTCTCAAATATATCTGCAATGAAAACAAAATGAAACACAAGCATTGGCGGATACTGTGTAATATGAAGTTTTTTGTATATGAAAAAAGTCACCCTTATACTACACAGTACAAATTATAAATATGAAAGAGAATGGCATTGCCTTTACTTCCAAGAGGAAATACAATAAAAAAATGAAATCCATCATATAATAAAACTGTGCTCAGGAGAGGATAAATAACATGCCTAGGCCACAGAGCTCTTCAGGCATGAATTTACAACCAAACTACCATGTAAGAAATATGCCAGGTAATAAAGAGAAATAATAGAGTTAAAAAATTATCATTCTGCACTCTCTAACAAGTTCTTTAAAAAAAATTTGTTATAGAAATGTGGTACAAGTCAGGATTAACCACACAAGTAGGTTTCATGCAGGTGAAGTTTGGGCTTCCCCTGGCTTGAGATCAGGTACCCTTTGTGCCACTGTGTGTCCCCTCTTCCCCTGGGCAGTGACAAGAGACAGCCGATCTCTCCCTTTTGCTAATATGACTAATGTTCTGGTCCCACCTGAATAACAAGTTCTTTTATTTAGGCAATGACTACCATTCCTACTAACATCATTAAAAGGGAGACTACCAGACATCTTAAGCCTCCCCATGAAAGGATACAACTAAACGTAAGAAAAGTTTTTGCCCAAATAACTGAATAGGACTGAATAGGACTCTGACTAGGACTCTGAATAGGACTCTATGCCTCTACATTGAACTTCCAAAGTCTAACAAATACAGTGAATAAAAAGTATGGCAGATGGATGCAATTAGTCAAATCCTAACTATTGAAAACACTCCACAATTCTGCATCTGGTTTCTTTAGCAAGTACATTTCAAAGGAAAAACAAAGTCAATTGGAGGAAGACCCTAAATGACACATCAACCAATCACCATGTAGACTACTTTGAACCCTGAGTTAAGCACTGAATTTTTATATCATGTTACAGAATTATAATATTTATGAGGGATAACAGCATTGTGACTATATTTTTCAAGTCATTATCTTCTTACAAATAGTTATAATTAAATAATAATTAAAAA